TAATAAATTAGAAGTACTTGATGAAACTAAACTAGAAGAAATTCAAAACCAAATATCAAAAATTGCACAGAAAAATAATATTAGTAAAATTACAACTTTAGAAGAAAAAATACAAATTATTAATTATAAAATTGACTTTTTATTAAATAAATTAGGATTTGAAGTTGCTGAACCAACCTATAAGAAAATTAAATGATGATAATGAACGAAAAAATTAATTTAATTGAAAAAGGTATGGAAACAATTGAAGAAAAAATTACTAGAATTGAAATAAATTTCAAAAAAGAAAAACTACAAAATAATTTCTTAAGAATAGAAAATCTTTTAAATAGAATAATAGAGAATCTAAATAAAAAAAAATCATTAAAACCAGATTATACTGAAGAACTTAAAGAAGTCAGAAAGAAAATTAAAAAGTATGAAGAATTAAAAAAATTAAATGGAGGATTAAAAGATGATATTGAAAGGTTATTAATTGACCTTAGAAAACAAAAAGAAAATCTTATAGAAAAAGAAGGAAAAAAATGGGAAAAAGAGAAGGAAAATTAATTATAGAAGAATAATGAATGAAGATATGGAAAACGTAATATTCAACTTAGAGGATTTAAAAATTTGTGAAGAAATAATTCAAAATTATATGGTTGGAAGAACAGGAGGATCACGAGCAGTTAAACAAGAAGATTATGGAGAAACTAGCATAACTAGCTATGAAGCTGAAGTAGACCCTAGAAGATATGTTAATACAAAATTTGATTTTAGAACTAGAAATGAAAAAATGTATAAAGAGCAATTGAAACCAATTTTAAGAGAATCAAACCCAATGAAAATTGCATGATCATATTTGAATTTAGATTGTGAATTAGATGTTAGAAAAATTATAAATGAAAGGAGTACAAACATAATAGCACATTTTAATTATAACCGAAGTAATATTGATAATAAAAATAGAACCGAGTATCTACTTGCAACTTTTAAAGGAAATGTAGTTAATTGGTACGGAGGATTAGAGAACACAACAAAAAGTGTTTGGAAAGATAGTTTTAAAGCAAGATTTGGAAATAGCATAAGTGAAGGCATAAATAGAGTCGCTATAAGAATTTATAGAGAATTTGTAGGAGAAGATTGGGTAGCAGAAAACACTAAAACTAGAACATAAGAAATAAAATATGCTAAAAATAGAATGGAACGTTTACAAATTTATAATATTTGTTATCTTAATGAATATTGTTGTGAGTATAGTATATACTATTATATGATGTTTGGAAGTGGAGTTGAAAATAATTATTATAAAGAAGNAAAACCCAAAAAATATAAAAAATATAAAAAGAAATATTTTAAACCAAAAAGAAAATATTTTAGAAGAAAATATAAACCTTATAATAAAAAACCATTAGATAAAAAACGATGTAAATGTTGGAATTGTAATAAAGAAGGACATATAAGCACCGAATGCCCAAAAAGAAAAGTTAGAATATTAAATACAGATTTTGATCAAATTAGAGATGAATTTGAAGAAGTAAACTTTGAGAAAATAGAAACTGATGAAGAAATTTTTGAAGAAAAATTAGATTCAGAAGAAATATCTAGTGAAGATGAATAGAAATAAAAGAAATAAAAAACAAAAAATAATTTCTAAAACTATTTATAAAAGAAAGGATGTATTTTGCAATAAAATAAAGATCATTTCATTAAGGATAAAATAGACCTTTTAGGTTATTTATTAAAAGGTCAGTTGACTTAAGCCAATTTGAAAAACATCCCGGCAAACTAATGATCAGAGTCGTTGAGAGAACGCACAATTAGGGTTTTAACTAATCAGCCAATGAGAAGCTGTCCAGTCAACTCTTAAAGAGTCGCATTCACGTTTTATCCTTCAATTGAAATTGGCATTTTGCAACGATGGGCTTCCGACTGTGAAAAATGTGTCGATCTTATAATTTTGACTCTTTAGAAATGTGACAAGCATGCAAGAAATATAGCTAGTTATAAGAAATTGGTCTATTATTAGACTTTATTTCGTACACATTGTTCTTTTGTTGATCTATTATTCTTATTATTACAATCTAAAATGAAAGTGTTAATTAATAATAGACTTTACGATCAAAACAGTTACAAGAAAAAAATATGTCGTTAGGTCACAACTGTCATTGACTCACTTTGATGATGTTGGTAGTTTTAATATTGCTTATGATACTTCAAAATAATTTCATTACAAAGTAATCATCATCATTGTGAACAGTGATGAAAGCATGACTCGAAGTCAAAATTTCTATAATAAGAACATTTAATTTATATAACCTCTTACTATAAGATACATTTAATATAATCAACATAAAAAAGTTATGTAATAAAAAATATTGTTTTAGTGTTATTTAGAAAAATTTCCCAGAGAGTCAACTCATATATGGACCGGCCCAATATCACTGTTTCTTATCTGCTCAGGGCCCTATACGGCCATTATCATTACTTGTTCTCTCTACAAATAATATATGCAGACTGATATTTTACATTTACTACTAATTTCTAATTCTACTTCAAATATTATCACGAATATTTGAATCTGAACTCCTCATTATTGAATGAATGCACTTATATTTATAGCAGATCTTTCAATTGATTAATGCCGGGTTAATTACAGTGAGTAGAACTTGTTAATCAACATGGCATGCCAACCGTTGCCATAAACAAGTATGCGTTTAAGTGTCACTACGATGAATTAATTAGTTTGGCATTAACCTAAGATTCAAATTCTGACAAAACTTTCAACGGACTTTGCAAGCTATGTTTTTGTCTTTGTTTGTTTATTGGAAACATTCAATTCAATCAAGCTTATTAAAGAAATTGATCAAATTCAAGATATTTAATGAGCCACTAGGTCATCTATTTAACACACACACACTTAGAAAAGCGAGCATTTGCCATTTGACACTGAAGTTGCATAAAGATGGAAATCGAGAGTCGACTTTCGAAGATTTCTAGAATAGCAGGTAATGGAAACACTTAGGTGGAATGACAACTTTGAAAACGTCAATGTTTCCATTTCAGAAATTTTGTGCTTCAACTTTTTAAAGCAAATTAACCACGGAGAACCCATTTCCCTTCGACTTATCATTTTCCCATTTTTTCATGTACGAAAAGCTAACTTCTTATCAGCATCGACTAGACACGAGAATGGTCTAGAGCATGGGCAAGGCCTTGTTAATGGGCTTAACCTCATAATGTCCTATGGTTTTATTTTGAGTAAAAATCTGTATGAATTAAACTAGAGCCTCTTAGAGTTGGGTTACTTGAAGATTGCAAAGATTAAATTTCTGCATTCTTTAAATTTGATGTAGTGTCTGATGATAGCCCATTAATCTTCTCCGAAAAATATCTGATCTTTAGGCATTTGATTTTTGCATAGTAACATGACGTTTTCCATAATCATCTATTGAGACTATTTAGCCAACAATATCTGGGAACTACTCAGAAATCAAAAATTGTGCACCTCTGTATTCAAACATGAAGAGTATCAAAGTATACCAAATTATGCACTGAAGTACAACTATTTGAACCATTAAACTCCCAGAATAATCCCCATACATTCCCTTCAACAAAGGGATACCCATAACAAGAGTGTTTGCCAAAGTTCTTTTTTTTTTTTTTTAAACAGTGGATGTCCGAACCAGTTTGCGCGCACTTCGACTAATCCCACAGGCCCTGAAATTTACGGCCGGTACTCACCTCAATGACCCTGAAGGGACTCGAACTGGTAATCATTGGGTAGCAAACCCAATGCCTTACCAATTGAGCAACCCCTCAAGATTAAGAGTGTTTGCCAAAGTGGATAGGAAAAGTGTAATAGTCCATTACAAACAACCCCTTTTGCTCACATTAGCCCATACAACTAAAACTGCAAGAACAATGAGTTTTTGGTGTGACTGCAGCAATGAACTTCAAGTTCATTTCATAAGGATTGTTGATGTGGGATGAATTAGAATTCAAGCCAAGAAGATAATAAAATAAGAAGAAGAAGAAGAAGAAGAAGAAGGGAAGGAAGAAGCCGGCAGAGAAGAAAAAGTAACTTAGGGAAAAGGGAAAACGTGGCAACGACCAATCTTAATTTTCATCAAATCATTAACTGTCTCAACTACTATAAAAAAATATTCAATAAATAGTAAAAACCTATCTACTAGTGACGGGCTTGGGTCAACCCACTACTACAAGCTCAATAATAATAAAAATGTAATTAATAAAAATCAACAATAAAACAAATCATGGTGTCTGCATCAATTGTTCATTGCAATGAAATGAAAAGAAAGAAAAGGGACCGCAAAAAGTGCCAAAAAAGGGTTGATTCCTGAACATTGATCTGGAGTGAAATCTTCCACCACTTGACAACCGTAGGCTAATATCATAGCTACATAAAGTGGAACCACTACAGTCATTACAAGGTAAAAATCTGATGAAGTTATAATGTTTTCTGATTTCTCGAGTTGTCCAGATAGACAAAGGATAAACAAACAAAATCCGCTGATCAAAACCTAATGAAATTTTGAACAAAAGAAAAAGGTTCTGAAGATTGATATATACAAGGGAATGGAAGAGAAAGATGTATTGGTTTATGGGATTGTGAATAGGTGATATACATACAAAACACTACCTTCCCTTTGGACAGACAAAAGCAAAGGTTTTGCCAGAAGCAGTTGGTGCACATGCAAAACACTCCCTTCCCTGGAAATATTTGTAAATGATCACTGAAATTGACAGATCCATCCAGTGGTGCAAAAGACAATAAATAAAAAAGAAAAAACGAATATAAGAAAGCATAGCCCAAATGAAAGATCATACAGATAATAAGACTGGAATAGCCTGCCTTCGGATTGGTGTTGGTTCTTTAAATCCCAGTGCAGCCAAACTGGGCAACAAATATGATCTGCAGCTATATCTGACCAGGACCAACCATTTGAAATTTTAATCATGACCATCATATTAACATTTACAGAACTACGGAGAGCAACAAATGAGAATAAATAAGTATGATTTAATAGAAGAAAAGTTCACAACAAATTACAGGCAAAATGTAACCACAACATAACATTACAAAAACACATAGTGATGACAAAGAAAAGACAGAACACATGTATAAATAGAGGTGTTTGACACAAGCCAATCTCAGTGCCACACTACAAAGTTCACTAGGAGCAATTTTATTATAAAGAAACATACAGGTTGGAGGTTTAGCAAGAAGGAAAAGTAGCTCTATGACACATGAAAAGAGTGAAAAGACACGAATAAAAGGTAAATCAACATAATTTGTGTTTGAGAACAGCACAGATTAAAAATGGATAGGAAAATAAATTTGCAGGCAACTTGATAGAAATAATTTGGCTTGTGATTAATGGCATTAAAACATGTTTGTTACAAGCGGAAGGCAAGAGATACAGAAAGGGTCGAGGCAACTTATATCCTGGTAATTCTTTCAGATATATGACCAAAATAAGCAAGTAGAGTAACACTGAAGGATAGTAATCACCAAAACTAAAACAGAAATAAGAAATGAACAAATGCAGCGAAAAAGCAGCCAGTACACGATTGTCACAATAAAGGATCACTGAGTACCTTGATCTCAACTCTGCAAAATTCTGAAGAGGTGATGGGATATTGCTCCCAGAAACATGAATATTATGCTTCTTACGGAAATGTGCATCCCTCTAAATTCGTAACTAAGAATGAGAATAAACAAATGGATTAATGTCTCTCCTCACTTGCTTGTCGAATAAAATAGTTTGAAATATACTCAAAACTATGTATAATCTTAAAGGTCAATGAATAAATACGCGTGTGTAGAGAGAGAGGAACCTCCAGTTGCCGATGATATTCCTTCTTTCCATGTAAAAAATCATCTCCGTGCTGGTCAACTGACACTACAAGTACCGAAACAAGAGGTGATGCTTGTATTTCATTTGAATTGATGTTAAAAGACAGAACACATGTATAAATAGAGGTGTTTGACATGAGCCAATCTCAGTGCCACACTACAAAGTTCACTGGGAGCAATTTTATTATAAAGAAACATACAGCTTGGAGGTTTAGCAAGAAGGAAAAGTAGCTCTATGACACATGAAAAGAGTGAAAGACACGAATAAAAGGTAAATCAACAAAATTTGTGTTTGAGAACAGCACAGATTAAAAATGGATAGGAAAATAAATTTGCCGGCAACTTGATAGAAATAATTTGGCTTGTGATTAATGGCATTAAAACATGTTTGTTACAAGCGGAAGGCAAGAGATACAGAAAGGGCTTGATCTCAACTCTGCAAAATTCTGAAGAGGTGATGGGACATTGCTCCCAGAAACATGAATATTATGCTTCCTACGGAAATGTGCATCCCTCTAAATTCATAACTAAGAGTGAGAATAAACAAATGGATTAATGTCTCCCCTCACTTGCTTTTCGAATAAAATAGTTTGAAATATACTCAAAACTATGTATAATCTTAAAGGTCAATGAATAAATACGCGTGTGTAGAGATAGAGGAACCTCCAGTTGCCGGTGATATTCCTTCTTTCCACGTAAAAAATCATCTCCGTGCTGGTCAGGTCCTTCATTTATAGCTTTGGATTTTGAACTTTCTGAATAAACTGAACCCCTCAACTGGATCTGAAAAGTGAAAATCATTGCAATTGGAAAGCAAAAATTAATTCATATCAAAAGTTTCTTCCTTTCCTTTTTACTCGTAGCAACTCAAGCTTCCTGATTAAGGTATCAGTAAAAATCACTATTTGAATATTACGCAAGCAATAACATAATTCCCAACCTAATCAAATACCAATTTGATATGTGGGCTGGTGCTCCTCTTAATTCTGCAATATGAAAAGCACTTCAGCAGGCTTTAGCCACCGAATTTGAGCGTCCCGAGCCAAATGATTGATATCATATCCTGAAATTCAGAGAAGAATTGCTTATATTACTTATTCTCCATATCATGCAAACAGCTATCAGCTATGTATATGAAATTACATTTTTTTCTAGGAAATCATCAGAAATGCCAAAAAATGTTTAACCTATTTACATCGTATGAACTGTATACAGCCAAAAAAATCAGGATCTCAATTAAAGAAAAAATTTAATTCACTCAATTGAAGTACAGTAACGACTGAATAAGAACAATCAAGATACAAATTTTCTAGCTATAACTTTCAACAATACAGATTAAAGAAATCCACTTTGCCAAGAAAAAAAGGAACTTCGTTCCTCTTCATAAGGAGGTGTAGAGAATAGCCAAATGATTCTACCAGAGTTCTGCAAAGCAAAAGGTGAAGCGACAAAGCAACCAACAAGGCTAAAAACACAGCTCAAGCACCAAAGAATAATTCAAATTTGCTAAGTCTACATCAAAACACAGCCTCACATTTCAATCCTTGCATTAAAAATTAAGCAAATCAAAATCTTAGAAAAATAACTTTAATAAAAAATAAACGAGAAAAATGAAATGTGGGACATCTCAAGCCCTTAAATTAAATAAAAACATGTGTGCACATACAATTACTTTTGCACACATAAATGGCAAAAGCACTTCGGACAATCGTACCTCGTAAGCCACGCAGAAGGGTGAGTACCATACAACATGTACATCTTTGAAAGCTTATCGAACTTAAAACTAATAAACTGTAATATTATATATTTTCAACATTCCTAAAAATGAAATCTTACATAAACAGTCAGGGCCATAGTTGAATTTAAAACTTCATTTGCTTTTGAAGATGAGAAAGTTATTTATATTATGTGTAACAACCCAAAATCTATTTTTTTTTATTATTATTTTATTTTTAAATAAAAAAATATTCTTGAAGTGTTACCAAAATACTTTTTTATGTAATTTAAGCGGAAATTCACTTTTATTCAAATTGATTTGATCGATAAATCGATAAAAGTTAAACTAACAATTTATATGCTGTGAATTCAAACCATAAATTTAAAATTTAACATAAAATATTCTTCAATAAAAATTTGAAATTTATCGTTTCTAGAAAGTTTATTTGGCGATCCCATAAGCTTCATTCGGTCAATCTTCCACGCGTCCACACGACCCGTTCTAATCTGAAAAGTTATTGTAAGAGTGAATATTTTGAAAATACTCAGTAAAAATACGTGCATATTCTTATTCAACATGATATAAATATAAAATGACATAACATATCGATTTTTCTTAAATTTAAAGCAAACTAGTCACGATATCCAATAGCTCAAGAAATTTTTTAAGAATTGTTATATCCCGTATGAATTACATATTCGACCTAATGGTCCATCCCGTATGATTTAACATATAAATCGACCCGAAGGCCTTAGAGTATTTCATGCCAAAATCTATAAAAATATCAAGGAAATAAGAATTTACCACTCGCACAAAGTATTCTTACCTCAATTTGATACCAAATAATTATGAAAATATGACTTGTGGAATAATATAAAGATGAAATCCCTTCAACTGTGCAGTGTACTAGAAATGAACTTGTGAAATTGTGTGTTAGAAAGAAAATGAAGTTTTGTGTTTTAAAAGGAAACTCTATCATCATATATATATATGTAAAATTTTCTGACGCATACACGTAACTCCAAGTAATAAGACAAAAAGACTTTTAGTTTATTCATTTTAATTCCAATCGTATTCCAGGTAATTTAAAAGTTTTATGGAATTAATTAGTCGTATTATTAAAATTAATGAATTAATCATGTTTAATTTATTAATTTATAATATCCCTTTTCAATTTCCAAGGAGCCGTAGCTGAATTCAAAATGAAAGTTTCTCCTTTCATTATTTTATTATTAATAAAATATAGAATTTATATTACTTTTCTTTCTATTAAAATAACTCGGATATAAATAGTTTAAAATCATTTCTTCTTAAACTCAATTTATGTTATTTAATGCGAGCAACAAAATGACTATAATATTGATATATTTATAAATTGTTATAATACTTAAATATTCGACACAAATATAACATACGATAAATTTTATACAGTACACATAAGAAAATAAATCATTTCGTAAATAAATGGGATAAACTTATCACTTTAACTCTTGGACTTTTAGTGTGACAACCAGGCTACACATGGGCTATTTCACTTGTCAAAAGACCAACATTAAATTTAGGCTCTAATGAAAATAGTAAGAAAAATCGGGGTGTTACAATATGGCTTCAATGTCATCTCCTAGCTAATTTTTCTCTGACCATCAAAGACTATTCTAAAAATTTTCAAATTGAAAGATTCAAATTGGACAAGAAATGGAATTTGAAACTCTAATCAGAAACAAATGCCAATAATTCCTGCTTTCCCTTATTTTCATTTTCTAATTTTTTTTCCTCCCCTCTTTAAGCCCATAAGCTTTGATTCCAAGAAGAAATTAAAAACTCAATTTTTAATTCATAATTTCATATTTCTAAGACCAAAAGAAATCTCAAATTCAGCATAAGAGAACAACCACATGAAGCTTCCATAAAATCCAATTGAACCCTTCCCAGTTAAGTGTAATCTAAATCAAACCATATCCATTCAAGAAGCTAAACAATTATACCAATAAACTACCTTAAGACCATAAAGATAAAAGTACAAAGAAATCCAGAATGATGCAGCATTTCAATAGGCAGATATCAATAACTAGAGAGTAGGTGAGGATCAGACCTTTAGAGAATTCCATTAGGTTCGGTTCACACGCTTCAAGACTAGGTCCTGTTTTCTTTTGCTAAGAAATCAGATTTTTAGAAAAAGACACAGAAGGAATTAGAAGTAAAGAGACGAGGAGAGCATTTGGTATTCCACTGTAGCTTTCTCCACCACCTTCGGCAACACTAGACAAACTTGTGATAAAAACGCAGCACAAGCAGCAAAGAATAATTCAAATTTGCTAAGTCTCAATTACAAATTACATTAACAAACGGGCAGGCGCAGACATGGCCGTACCCGTGTTTCGCGGGACCTGAGACGAACTTCAAAATTTAGGCCCCCCAAGTCATAAAAGAGAATCCCCTTTTTCTTTTAAAAGAGTATTACGAAACTCAATTTGTTAACTTAAATTCAACAAATAAAGCAACAAATAAAACTAAAATATTCAACATATTTATTTTGCAATCAAGTAACAATACGAAGACGTTCTAACCGATCACTTAAGTATAACTCGTCTTGCAGTTTTCGAGGTAAAAATATCAATCAATTTTGTATAGTCGAGTTGTTCAACCATTTCTTTTTTAATGGATAACATGGCCAATCCATTCAATCTTTCCTGCGACATAGTTGAACGGAGATAAGTCTTGATCAATTTCAACTTGGAGAAGCTTCTTTCTACTGATGCAACTGTAACTGGTATAGTGAGCAAAATCTTGTAAGCAATGCTAGCATGGTATTTAGCTCAAATCACTCAACAACTAACAGTTACTGAAATTGAACATAACAATTAACATGAGCTTACAAAATCCCAATTCAAATTCACACTTAATTACGCCAAATCCAGATAGGTAATAATACATATTTAATCACATTATCACATATTCAATTAATAAAATCCCATTTCAAACTTCAACGGTTCAACCCCTATCATTCTTAATCATACATCCATCATCCAATATTCATACTCAAATTTTCAATCACAAAACAAAATACAGTAAACTAGTAAAGTTGGAAACAACAACAAGAATCTCTGGACTGGAATCGAGAAAGTTAGAAACATACCCATTACCCGGATACTCCTCATTCCTCAACAAAATACAGTAAACTAGTTTATAGTTGCACCTTCAGACAATCAGACCTTCTGTAAATCAAAGATTAAAATGATTCAATCAAATTCAATGGTTAATCGAGATTCGAGGAGAAGAACTGAAGAAATCAAATCACCGTGAGTCCGTGAATGTGTCTCTCAACTCTGACTCTAAGTGACTCAAGTCACTCAAAAATTTGTCTGTGTAAAAAATACAATAAAAACTAATACTTACTTAATAATGAAAGGCCCGAAGACGGAGAGGACTGTGTCACGCTGGACGTCGGACGGAGATGACGAGACCAAGACGGGAGGACGAGGTTGACTGGTTTGGTAATTGTTCAGTTTAGAGTTCAGTCAATGTTATCTTTCTATTTCTCCCTCACGAGTCACGGCAGACGGGCGGAGTTACGGTCGAGGAGTGGAGGAAACGGCGCAGGGAAGTGGAGGAAACGGGGAGTGCAGTGATGTTTTTCACCTTTAGGTTAATTTTATTCAAAAAAAAAAAAAAAACCCAAAAAATGGGCCCTCAGAAATCCTGGGCCTGAGGCGGCTGCCTCTTGGGCTTACCCTCAAGTCCGGCTCTAGGCACGAAAGCACACCTTAAAAGTTATGGGACTCAATCGAACTTGCAAAAAAGTTGGAAGAAATTTTACAATCGAAAATTTACGTTCAAAAAAATCATACCCCATGTAATTTTACATCCGAAAATTTACATGGGATATGACTTTTTCGGATGTAAAATTTCGAAATTTTTTGACGTCATATTCCGTATAAAATTTTCTAATAAAATGATGAAAATTATATTGAGAAATTTGTATCGCAAAAATAATAAATGTTAATGAAATAATTAAATTTTTTTAAAAAATGCGAGTTATACGTCTTTTTTTAAGACTGATATTTAACTTATTTTTAACTATTTTCGATATCTATTTGAACTATTCGATATGCCCATAATATCATTCTTGAACTACGGTTCGAAATGATACAAACAATTTGTAGAATCGAATAAAAGTTAATAAAATAATTTAATTTTTGTTAAAAAAAATGCGAGTTAGACGTCTCTCTTTAAAACTCACGTTTAACGTATTTTTAACTATTTTCGATATCTATTTGAACTATTCGATATGCCCATAATGTAATTCTCAAAATAAGCTTTAAGATTACATAAGCAATTTGTAAATTCGATTAGCGTACGATCGTCGGATAATTTTTAAAATTAGCATGTTATCGAAATTTAAATTTATTGTGATTTTGCCCCTATTTGGTGGAGATTAAAAACAAATTTTTAGTTGTGAATTTCATGAAATATGTTATTAAAATTAATTGTTAACTTTAATTTAGATTAAAATTTAGATTTCAACTGATACCAAACATGATTTTATAAAAAAAAAAAAATCTCAAAAGTTGGAGGGGCATTTGCCCCCCAGGACCCCCATCGGTCCAGCCATGCAAACGGGTATCTTTAATCATTACGAAACACAACTACCATAATCTTAAATACAACCTGAAAAATGTAATTGTTAATAGGAACTAGGAGATAAGAACTATCCATGAAACCAATTTCGAGGCAAGTTTTTCCATGGTTGAATGACATGGGCTCGTAAACTGCAACTCCAAGCTTGCGTTCTGCTTCAGGTTCGGATTCAATAGCTTATTCATTTAAAATTTTCTTGGAGCGATGGGAAGAGGAAAGTGCAGCGAATGTTGAAATAAGGGTTGATGAAATGAAAAACTTCCATGTACCACCAGCGATATTTTGGACACACCATTACACCCTCCAATTCACAATTTGGTTGACGGAAATACCCTTCTATTCATAACTACATATTATTTTCCTTCATTGTTGTGGTTAAAGGTAACCCTGAGAGGTTGCTCAATTGGCCAGTCCTTGTATTTTCTCCCTAATAATCACCGGTTCGAGTCCTCTCAGGACCACTAAGGTGAGTATCCGGTTGTAAACTTCAGAGCCTCGTGAAATTAGTCGAGATGCTCGCAAATTGGTTCGAACATCCACGATTATCAAAAAAAGATTGTTGTGATTAAAGGTAGAGTAGGAATGCCATTTGCCTTTGATACGTTTCCCAATATTGTACCGTAGGTAAGTGAAGGCAAGTGTGCGATTTAGATTCATGAATGAATAGTGCATGTTTTGTCATTACATTAACAGTGATATGTGAGGGAAAATCACAAATGAATAGAAACATAGAATCCTCTCTTTTAAAAGAGTGTAGATGTAGACATGGATAGATAAGCTTTGGTAAATTTTTAGAGTTTGAATAACTTAAATTCCTAAAATATCTTAAAGAAAAAATTATACTTATTAGACTAGGGGTTCCATCTTAAAATGTCAATATTATTAAGAGGAATAACCAAAATCCTCATAAATTGGTCTATGTTTTCATAATTTTTAAAATTGAGATTTATCACTTACATGCCCTGCAAGATGGTAACTCATTTGAGCAACTTAATCTTAAAATCAGTGTGTTCGTAATTTGAGTCTTATAATGTTTTCTTTAAAATATTTAAGTCATTCAAACCCCAAAAATTGTAACAAAAGTATTGTGAAAATGGAACTTTCATAGACGATTATTTTCATAATGGAATTTTGTATTTTTTTTAATGCAAATTAGGGCTGGACAAAACAACCGAATCGAATCGAGCGATTCTTCTTACATTATATACCCAAACAGATATCTAAATAGAGAACCGACGGATTCGATTCGGTTCTCGGTTCTAGACCTAGAACCGAATCTTCCTAATTTTTAAATTTTTTTTATCTTAAATAAGTCGGATTTTTTTTTTATATAAATGAATTTGCTAACTAATTAATTTAGCTCAAACCTAAAATATGATTTTACTATTTTCAATTTTCAGCCAAGCCTAACTTAATCAAATTTATCTAAATTTTACCCAAATATCTTATTCTATTGTAGTATCGTTTCTGTCTTTTTATTCTTGTGAACTTGCTATCTTCCTCTTCTTGTAATTTTAACAGTCAAATTTCTAAGAACTCAACAAAAAAATGTGCAAAACAAATAACCAGATTGAATTAAGTCATTTTATAAAAGTTAAGATTGAACACGTCATAGTCAAATTAATGTAGCATTATTGTAAATATAAAAAAATTAATTATTGTACGGAACCCGGGAATCGAATAGAACCAAATCCAAATGGTTCCATAATTAAATTTGAACCCGACGATTCCACTTACTAAGTACCTAAAAATTTCGGTTCGATTCGGTTCTCTTCAGAACCGAACCGACCATGTCCAACCCTAATGCAGATTGAATAGTGATTATCAAAACAACAAGATAGTACCTATTTATTGATTTAATGAAGACTTCATAAAAAAAAAAAAAAAGAATTAAAGCCTTTTATACAAGGTTTTTGCTACGGACATTGGTTATGTGAACTCATAAAAAGCAACTAATTCCGAATTAGTTTATGACATTCAACATAAAGAGTGCATGCCTTATTTATACGCTTGAATTACACAAACCACCAAGTCGGAATTATTGTGAAGTGTATATTAATTCAGCGACAATTCCGACAGCTTCAATTTCATTTAAAGAAATCATTTATTGGAGATGATCGGGCTACGTCTGTTGCTTATTTTTCAAACAGAGGTTCTCATCCAACAAGCTTTGGAATTCTTAAATCCAACATTATTGGCCCAACATCAACATTCTAGCAGCTTGGTACGTTTCAGTAGAAAACATCATTACCAAATTTACATTCAGCATGATTTCAGAAACATCAATGTCTTGTCCTCAATTCAGTGGCATCGCAGCATTGCTCAAAAGTGCACATCCTAATTGGTCTCCGTAATAATTAAATCTACAATTATGACCATTGTCGATTCTATTAACATTGTCATTAACCTAATTGAATACAAAACTCTGCACTGTTTCCAGTCGTGTAAACCCATCAAAAGTAACTGATCCAGGATTAGTTTATAACATTCAATCTGACTATTACATACCTTAGTTTATGACATTCAACCTGAATATTACATACACTGTTCATCATGCAGTGTGACATTTTCTAGCAATACATTGGAGATGCTCATATAAACTAGTTTGCACACAATCAATTCTTGGACATAAGACTCGTGGACAGTGAACCATTTTCTATTAAAGAAAATAATATATACAAGTCATCTGTTTGTTCACCTCAGCAAAGTTAAGTAGTGTTACGTGAATAGATATATCAACACCGGAAACACTTCCAGCACAAGATTATAAGTTGATTGTGCATCACCAACGTTTGTCACTGTCGATGAATGCTCACAACCAATCCTTCCAAGCTCAATGAAAAATGTGGGATGATTCAATTGAGCTACAGGTAAACTTGTAAATTCTGATCCATGGCAGTTTATAGAACGCTGCATAATGTCACACATGAGTTCTATGCCATTATGCTTGGACTTTCCAAAAATATACACCGGTTGTCGCAATAGATCCTTTTTCTTCGTCATTTTCATCTTCTTCGTCTACATCCTCGTCCCGGAAGTGTAAGTCGAAGTCCAATGGAATCAACATCCAAAGCAAAGAGAAAGAAAAGCATAGCACGAAGAGAGAGAGAGAGAGAGATTGATTTTGTAGTTAAGATATTTAGGGAACAGTATTAGAAACCGTCGAACGACACGATGAAAAATGAGAAGCCTTTTTGGAGTAAACAGTATTGAAACAGTTATAAACAAGTACCCGTGAAAAATGAACAGTGCAATTCCATCCTCTCTTTTAAGGGCATGTAAGTTAATATATAAATAAAAATGAAAATACAATTGGGGATAAGGAAAAATGACAAAATTTAGACGGAGATGACCAAAGCTGTTTAACGATTTCAACAGATCTCACTAAAATGATGAGATCACACAGATCCTTCGTCCATCACAAATGGGTTGTATACGTACATACACCCTTTTAATACAAAGCAAAAGTCCCATTTCCTCAATTTTATAACATAAGCATGTTTAATTAACTAACACAATTTATTTAAAGTAAAAGTTAAACTAACACAATTTATTTAAAAACACAATTTATTTTAAATAAAACGGCCTTGCAGGCAATTTCAATTTCAGTTGCTGCCGTTGGTTTCTTCACCCAAATTTGCCTCCTGTGTTTTGCTCTGCGACCATTCTTTCCTCATTGATTCACTCATTGATGTCCATTCTTTGACTTTCGAAATCAAACCTTTACCTTTCTGGAATCCCATATTTTGGTTCGAACCCAATTCAAAAAAAGTCACTGCACGTGGCTCTCTAGCCAAGTAGAATCCAGGAATCTTTTCCATTGCCTTCACTTCCTCAGGTGATAAATAAGCAGCAAAACCAGTAATCGCAATATTGTAGGCATAGAGCATGCGAGATTCCTCACCTGCTGCGGTTTTGGGCAAAAATGTGTGATAGTAGCTAAGCAGATCGTCATCGACTGGGGAACCGGTAGGTTGAGCAACGTGAACAATATATGGTTTCAGATTCCTGTTGCATAGGAGAAAAACAAAAGAAAATTAAGTATACAGAAGAAAGTAAGAAACTGCAAGAAACCCATTATTCTTTGTGATTGCTGCAAAAGAAAGTAACAAGTATGCAATGAAATGAAGTTCAGATTATAGACATGCACCATAATGGAAGTTTCCAGGATTAATAACAGAAACCCCCCTGCAATTGGCTGCCAAAACTTTATTTTTAACCAGCGATTCACTCCATAGTTGCTTACTCCACCTGCTGTCCTAAATTCCCAACACAGAGTGCATATGTCCGCAAGAAAATACCAAAGAGATCTCCATAGATTTTAAACATTTGATTAATCAAGATAAGGGCAAAAATCCCAGAAAAAGGGGACTTGATCTAGTTTTCAGACACACACAACTAGAGGGAAAAATGTTAGAACCCTAAACCCTAAATTATTGAGAAAAAATGAGGGGAATTGATCGGATAAATGCCCTGTTGCAGGAAGAGTTGATTTTGATAATTTTCCTGCACCTGGATTCGAGCCGGGACACCTGCTCTTTGGTGAGCAAGTGGCCGTCGATGAAGCTCCGCCGCCATACCATCCATTTTGGTGCCTCCGCCAGTCCCCACGTCTTAATTGACCTACTCGCCCGCCGGTTTATCAATGTTCGGAACATGTTCATCGACGAGAGCCTCTCGGTTTCGCCCCCTCCCAAATCTGCAAGGAACCAAAATCAGACTCAAAAGCTGAGATCTCATAAACATAGCCCAAGAAATACACAAATCTCATCCCACTAATACCGACCGAAAAGAACCCGATCACAGCAGCCAACAAGATAGGAAGAAGATAAAGAGAACGCTCGAGAGACAGAGAGAGAGCCGAAAAATCAGAATTGAATGAATATCAAAAGAGTCTAACCAAACGAGTAACTAGGGCAAACTCGGTTTTGGGCCGGTTGTTATTGGGTCGACCCGACCCAATAACATCCCAGCTGGGCAGCCAGCACATGCTGTTAAGTCGGCACCGGCCCTTTTTTTAAAAGGGGTACTTACAAAAATACCCTTAAAATTAGAGATACTTTGAAAAATCATATGAAAAATTTTTAGAAAGTAAAAAATACTGTATAAAATGAAAAAGCGACACAATGTCACTTTTTTTTATAAAATTGTGACTTTTTTAACACAAACTCAAAAAAAGTGACAAAACTTAAAAAAAAAAAAGTGACAAACTTGCTTTTATTAAAAAGTGATGTTTGTTACTAAAAAAAAGTGACAAAAATTTTAAGAAAGTGATAAGAAAAAGTGACAAATATTATAAAAATGCACAAAAATTTCAAAAGTGATAAACATTCAAAAAGTGGCAAAACACTAATCAAAACCTTATAACCAGTTTAATAAAATGATGATTAAAAAAAGTGACAAAAATACCAATCAAAACTTTGGAATTAATTCAATAAAGTGAAAGAAATAAAAAAAANTTAGATGAAGTAATTTTATAACGTTGATTGATGATGAGATAAAATGTAATCATCATTTTTCCCATCTCTGTAGATATGTAATTTTTATTTTTAAAACTAACATTTCACCATAAATAAATCAATAGCTGACTTGTGGATAATAATAATAATTAACATAATTAGTATGGTAAAAAAAAAATCAAACTATATCTGGTTAATATATGATACTTGTTTCTTGTAATCCTTGGTAAAGAGAAGACAAGAAGGAAATCTACATCAAAGGAAAAAAATGTTATTAGTAGCATTGTATAAAAAAAAAATTGTGCCAAAGTGTGCCGGAGACACCTCTATCCAGGATGGAGACACCCCCGTGTTTCTATCCTGAATGGAGGCATTGAGTTTCCCTCCATCCAAGTGGATGGAGGCACCATGCCTACTTGGACGGAGGGATGGATGGGTGCCTCCATCCCTCAGTCCAAGTAGATGGAGACATGGTGCCTCCATCCAATGGATGGAGGCACCATGTCTCCATCCAAGTAATGGAGGCATAGTTTGCCTCCATCCAAGTGGATGGAGGCACGGCAATATCTCCATCCTGGACGGAGACATCTAGGATAAACTGTTTTTTAACACTCTTTTCTTCCATTCTTAGTTATATTATATGATAAACTTCATTTCAGTATCATCACCTAATTTTTTGGTATCTTGTCTTAATTATACTGAGTTTGTTGTTTTTAGTAGATAAGGATAAGTTTTTGATCTTGTTGTTCATCGATTCCTTTTTATTTCTGATAAATTTTCGGATCAAATCAAATAATTAGTAACTTTACACAAATTTTATATAGAATATATTGATAGATAGATGTAATTGAAAAGGAGTTATATATTGATTGAAATATTGAATGATTCATGAAGTGTTTATGGTCAAAATTTATTCATTATTGAGGCTTTGATCTTTCATATAAGAATTTATAGGTGGTATTGTCTGCAGATCAGGAGCTGTAACCGGGTAATATTTGAGTGAGCTCCTGTGAGAGTTAAATTTGTGTTTCAATAGTTTTGAAGAATGGCTGCAGGGGAATGGCATTGTGAGAAATGGGATTATCTAAAGAATGAATCTTTTACGAAAGGCATCGGTAATGTGCCAGAAACTGGGTGTCTCTCTATCATTGTTCTCAGTGTTTCTGGTGATCTTGCCAAGAAAAAGACGTTCCCTGCGTTGTTTAACCTTTATCGTCAGGTTCGTTTTGATTTTTTCTTTCTTTTTTTGGCTGTTATATTTATCTTGACTTTTGGAAATACTTGCAAGCATGTCATTTGATCTATTGAATTACCAAGTATCCAAGTTCAAGAGTGAAAAGCAAAGTACATTAATTTACAGTACAAGTAGAATAAATGAATTAAATTAACTTTGTGATTGGTTTTGGTATTAAATTGTACATATCTTGTGAATGATGAGCCTTTGGTAAATGGCCTTCGCATGTGCATCCTGAAATTATTCAAAATTTTCAGCGCCTTACTTCTCCACTTCTCCATTATATCACGTAACATCTACTCCTCCTTACCCCCACTCATTGTACTCTCCTTCCTTTCCTCCATTTTCTCTCTCCTTCCTCTTCCTTTTCCTTTCTTCTACGGCTTTTTCAATTGCGGTTAATGTCATCAGATTTTAGTAGGATTCCACCGCTGGTATACAGGTAGGTTTGGATTATGGCTATTCATTTATATTGATTCTGAATATAGGTTTGGATTATGGCCATTTTGTTCCTCAATCCTCTGTTAAGCATTTGGTGGTTAGAATACAGCCATTACTTGGACGGAGGAAATGCTTCCGCCCAAGTGGAGGGCGTCATGCCACATTTTTTTTTCTACTAATAAATTGTGCAACACACACTAAACAATTATATAAATTTGATGGTCTTATTGATAGAAACCACATGTATAAAATGGAAGCATTCTCTACTATATAAATGTATATTTTTTTTATAAAATACAGTAAAATGATCAAATGTCTAATGCAATTCTTTTAGAACGAAGAACACACTTTCCAACTTTCTGAGTGCATGCACCTCCAGCATCTATGTTATTCTTATCATCTGAGTTCTGAAATTTGGTTTAATATAATGAGAAACAAATCCCAAACAAAGAACTGGGAGATCAACAAGAGATCTGTTGAACAGGTAAAAGTTACATACCATATTAAAAAGATTTATACCAACTTCTTCCTTAGGTATAGCAGGAATGAGATCTACTTCTGGCCTGATAAAGATAGGTGTATAGGTGCATCTTCTTTAAAGCAGTAGGATGGACATGAAAAAAAATGAAAAAGGCAAACAGAAGTCATTATCCAAAAAATTCAGGTTGTCTTACTGACTTTGTTTGATTCTGTGGCTCTAAAGATGAATCCTCAGCAGTATTGGATGTAGCTGATTCTAATGGCTCTACTTCATGAGATAGTCCAAAACTTTACTTGTTTAGTTAATTTAAATGTCGAGCCACATAAAATATAAAGAAATAACTTCACCTTCTCTGGCTCCTCTTCATCAAGTGGCCAAGTCGAAATCTTGTGGCAAAGATTGGTCCAAGAAATTGGATGACGTGTTATGGGCATACCGCACTACTTTTAAAACTCCAATCGGTATGTCACCATATCGCCTTTTATTTGGAAAAACATGTCATCTGCCTGTCGAACTCGAACACCGGGCATACTAGGCTATAAAAGCTTTAAACTTTGATGAAAAGTTGTTTGGTGCGAAGAGGTTGCGCCAACTTAATGAACTTGATGAAATCCGCCTTGATGCTTATGAAAATGCTCGTCTC